ATACGAGACGGTAGTTTTGGAGAAACACTTCAAAACCATGACCAAACTATCAAAAGTGATTTTTTAGGCCACAACTTTTTTCAAAAAACCAAACTACCTGTTCTTGCCCTTGAAGTTTTAATCTCAGATATGGCGCGGTATTCTTTGAGGAAAAAAATCGAAGAAAATGAGTCAAACATTTCACATGCTAAAATTTTCGAAGGCCTTAGAAGGTAGAGTAAGCTTGAAAGAGACTATGAAAGTATACAGAAATCAAAAATAACAGGATTTCAATGGTGCCAATACATTGAAAATCAGTGAAGAAGTTGTCGAGAAAAACTAAAACTTCAGTGAAAAACGAAAAAATTTACCAAAGCGTCTCAAAAACATAATTAAAAAATACGGTTTCAGAAAACCTGATTTAGGGAAGATTTTTTTTCCTCGGAACTATGCAATAGAAACTGATCTTGCTTGAGGTAAAAACCGCTTAATTGAAAAAAAATTCTCGAAATAAGAATATTATAAATCAGACTTGGAAAACAGACAAATTACAAAACTTTCAATTTTAGTAAAAAAATTTCTACTACCAAAATACGATCTAAGCTTTACAAAATAGGCCGATAACAAAGTACCAGATGACATACACTTTATTACTTTATTTGAAAAAAAAGGAAATTGAACCGTTGGAACAAGGCCGAAAACTCCGAACCCGAAAAAAAAACTTGAGAAAAGTATTTGAAAACAAATTATCCCCGGAAACAGGCCACACCTATTTTTTATCTGAATAAATTTTTTTTTTGAATTTTCAAGAAATTGAGCATGTCTTGTAATTCAGCTTTCCTACAAAATTGACCATCCTGAGAACCAAGATATTTACGATAAAAAGTCTGAATCCTTTTAGACTGAATCCTTAATTCAAGATACGAGACGGTAGTTTTGGAGAAGCACTTCAAAACCATAACCAAACTGTCAAAAGTGATTTTTTTGAGGTCACAACTTTTTTCAATAAAACTTAGGAGGTAACGGCTTGTGTAGAAGAGATCCCGACTACCTGTTCTTGCCCTTGAAGTTTTAATCTCAGATATGGCGCGGTATTCTTTGAGGAAAAAAATCCAAGAAAATGAGTCAAACATTTCACATGCTAAAATTTTCGAAGGCGTTAAAAGGTAGAGTAAGCTTGAAAGAGACTATGAAAATATACAGAAATAAAAAATAGCAGGATTTCATTGGTGCCAATACATTGAAAATCAGAGAAGAAGTTGTCGAGAAAAACTAAAACTTCAGTGAAAAACAAAAAAATTTACCAAAGCATCTAAAAAACATAATTAAAAAATACGGTTGCAGAATACCTGATTTAAGGGAAGAAGATTTTTTTGCCCTCGAAACTATACAATAGAAACTGATCTTGAGGTAAAAACCGCTTAATTGGAAAAAAAAATTCTCGAAATAAAAATATTATAAATCAGACTTGGAAAACAGACAAATTACAAAATTTTCAATTTTAGTTAAAAATTCTACTACCAATATATAATCTAAGCTTTACAAATTAGGCCGATAACAAAGTACCAGATGGTATACACTATATTTGAAAAAAAAGGAAATTGAACCGTGGGAACAAGGCCGAAAACTCCGAACTCGAAAAAAAAAATTAATATTTTTTGAGAAAATTATTTGAAAACAAATTATCCCCGGAAACAGTCCACACCTATTTTTTATCTAAATAAAGAATTTTTTTTTAAATTTCAAGAAATTGAGCATGTCTTGTAATTCAGCTTTCCTACAAAATTGACCATCCTGAGAACCAAGATATTTACGATAAAAAGTCTAGGACCGATTGCAATACCCATGCTTATCACAAGGGTAAAACACTATATGAGTTAATCAACCACACTTGAGATTACAATGAAAACTGCTTACAGTTCGAGAAGATCGTGGTGTGGTATCTAAGCCGATAAAACACAAGCCAGCAAACTAGAATCCGAAAATTCAATTTTCTTCCCGGAAAAAATTCAATATCAGGCATTTAAACAACAAGGTCCGGTCGCGACTCAAAACCCAGACCATAAGTTGCCAATACAACCGCATTACCTCAAGTCCAAGTGAGATGGGGATTAGAACACTCGAAGACTCGATAAAAAAATTGTTCGCATCAATTTAAATTTTTCCGCTAACTTTCTTAATCAATTTTTCTGAAGCCTGTTTTTTAGCAGTTTTTTTCGCCAATTTTGGGTACTTATCAAATTGATTGCCAAATCCTTGAAAAATTTATTTGAAAAAAGTCGAAGTAAGTTTTTCGGGAATATCCATTCACAACAATTTGTCGTAAAAACTCAGATAGTTTGCTTTTTTGCATCACTGTGATATTTGAAATTAATTGACTTACGTGTATTTGGGCGTAAAATCGAATCCCGCTCGATCGATTTAACTTTTTGTCAATTGAAATTGTTCAAATTAAATTAAAATTTTTCATTTAAATTGAGTGGGCTCATAATTTTCCATTTAAATTAAATTTAAATGAAAGTTTAATTTTTTGAAATAGACATCACTTATCCAAGATGTAAAACCAAAAGTATCATCGAATTTTCGCTATTCAATGCAGCTCTTTTATTTGATCCGATTGACATAATATACTTTTATACGTAAATTAAGCTTGATCAAACTAAACTTTTCTTTCGTATTTCGCAAAAAAAAACACTGCTTTGCGGATCTGTCTATGAAGTTTCGCAAAAAAGTCGATAACTCACAGTCGTTGCAAACTTGGAGAAGCTCAAGAAAGGATTTTTTGGCACAGATGCTACATGTTCCAGCGCACTTATGAAAGGAGACGATTTCTTGGGTTTTTCTACTGCTTCGCCGGAGTCCAACTCTTTAGGGCGAATCAATTCAGCCAGTCTATCTAATACGTAACAGAACTAAACTCATAAATGTATTTCTTTGAGCTAATGCCGTTAGTAAAAGAGGTAATGCTTCGTTTTAAGTTTCTCTGTATCACTAATGTAAAATTAAGTAATCATAAGCCCGGTAGCAAAAATCGATAACGCAACAAACTTATTATTTCACTTTTCATTGTTGTTCCTGAATTAAAAAGATACTTGGAACCATAGTCTAACCTTGGTCGCATATAATATCACCATCTGCCCATGTAATGATTTTGTTCTTCTCAACTCGCGCCTCCGCTTTTCTCAGCGCATCTCCTGATGCACTGCGATCAGGTCTGGATGGCTCATTCGGGTACAAGGAACCTCTTTTTTGTTTCGCGTCGATAGCACTTTGTCTCCTCCCGGGCACAACAGGTGAGACAGACGTGATTGTTGGTCTGTTCACGCTCCCACTTAGAAGCGTTGAAGAAGTTGTCTGACTGGGAATGTAATCCTCTAGGATGTTCAACCCCATCTGTTTTTCCCGAGCTGTGCGTCTTGTTCTTTAAATACCCAAATTAAAAAGTTTCATATTGGTCACATATTGGTTTAAGAAAGCATTAACGAGCTGATATTAATGATTACTGAACAATCTCGAGATTAATTTAGTTTGATGATAGAGATCAGGGGCGGATAAAAGATTTTTTCGTGGGTGGTTCGGATTTTCAAAAATTGTGTCGACCTTATTTAGGTCGACCAAATTGATTTTTTGAGCTCCCCCAAATCACTATAAAGATCCTATTTTGATCAAAATTTCTTGGCCGCAGCCGAATTTTCATTGCAATTCGAATTTTTATTGCACTGCAAATTTTTATTCCTTACTTTTATTAAAATTTTGAAGTCGTTTTATTGCACTTAAAAATTTAGACCAAATATTGCACTTTTTCGCCGCTCTCTCCCACTCGAAAGTGTTATATTTTGAAGCAAAAGGGCCAAAGAAAAACTGAAAGGACGGTCACCTAAAAATGGATGTCTTAAAGTAGTACCAAAGGGAGACTCTTTGGGTCGGCAGTGAGGTCGCAAAAGGGGACCCCCACCCTTCCTAAATCCAGCCCTGTACTAAAGATTTGACACAACCTCCCGACTCCAGAAAAAAATCTACTTACCTTATTTCAGGTGAAATACAAACAACTTTTGCTTCATCACTTTCAGCTTTTATTGCTTTTGCCCGGATAATTTAAATCAGAGCTTTAAACGAAAAAGTTGACAAATCGACAGGACGGAGCATCAGTTGAAATACATCAAAAAAAATTTCGGTCAAGTTAGCAGACAAAAAAAGGGGCGGAAGCCACTAAGTCAATAAATTTGATTAGCAAGAAAATCGACCGATACTTTTTCAACATAAATCAATTTTATTTCCAGGAAAACGTCACGGAAGAAAATTGTTAGCTTAAAATTTGTGTATCGCCAATTCATACTATTTCTATTTAATTCGGTTCCGATCAGATTTAAGTCTCGTGAGCAACTTTTAGAGCAAAAACAAATCAATTTGACAATAGAAAAAACCAGTTGAGCCAAAAAATTCTGCTCCTCAAAATCAAACACACTTTGCCACAATTATTCATGAAATTATTACAACTATGCATACAGCCAATAGACCGTTGAAAAATGTCAATGAACTCAAAGACACAAACTTTCAACTTAAAATAAACGTCAATCACTCTTTTTCATGCCATCTGCACTTTTATTATTAATAGCGTAATGAGCCTCACATTTAGCAAATGAATTTGAGTTGAGCATGCAAAAATTTTACGTCAAAATTCCAGCCACTTAAAATCAAACTTAAGCTTGAGCAGCTTTTCGTTTGAAAAACTATCAACACGCCCTATATATAAATCTTCACTACGTTCATTGGCATTTAAAAGAACTTAATTGATCTCCGTTCCCAATTTCGATAACCTGAAAGAAAAAACTAAACAGTAGAATAGCATATTCCGTAATTAAATTCGAAGCGCAATGGCAATTAGAAAAATAGTGAACCTGAAAACATATTTTTTGGCGCTATTTTCCAAATTTTGTTCTTTTAAGGACGTGGTGACAGAAGAGCAAGTATAAATTTTTTTGCTCCGATCACTAATAGTCGAGGGTGTCTTTGACCTTGTTTTATATTTTGAAGTTTTTTCCACGCAAAATCAGGTACCACCGAAATTGTTTGGAATGGGTCGAGACTTACATCATATCTTGCAAAACAATTTTTTGTCAAAACAAATTATAGAAATTGCAAAAAAGAAACATTGAAAAAATCTTGAACTCAACTACCTGAAACCTACAAATTTTCAAATAGCAATCGGAATGTAAAAAGATCTGAACCTTCAAAAGTCCCTTCTGCTGGAATGAAGTCGATAATATAAGCAGACAATAGATAGTCCAAAATAGCCAAACATTTCAGTTTGCTGGAAGGTCCGACCTGACTCAAACTCCAGATAGTTTTTTAGACTAAATTACAAAAGGGGCCCTTCCGTTTATTTACGGTAAGTGCACAAGCTGGATAGGGGCATAACAGCGATATAAAAATGCATAAATATCAGCCATGAAGTCATACATCAGCATTAAATGCATCGTCTTAATGTTAATTTATCTTAGCCGTCCTTCCTCTACAATAGCGCTTATGGAGTTGTCGATAAATTGAACTTTGAGTAGCGATCTGCACCCCCTTATACAAAGTATAGAGCTCCTCAGGAGCGCGAAGCTCATTTTAGTTCTTATGTAGTTTATAGATTCTGGATAGCTTTCTTGTCTTTTTTCACTTAGTTTTTCGGCTAATCGCTGCATCGTCCGCGTGGCTGTTGGAGCAGCGCCACCGGTGCATCCAAAAACTAGCGGGCAGAAGCTACTCTGCTCTACGTTTAAAAATCTTTGCTGATATTTGGAGTTCTTCAGCGTTTCGTGGTATTTGTATGCGTCCTTATGCAGTTTTCGCATGTTTTGGCATGGGGGTTGAAAACTTTCACATCAAAGAAAGCGCGGCTGAATCGTGAACCCCAGATTCCGTTTGCCTTAATGTCAAGTCGTGCCTCATCTTTTTGCACAACTCCAGACAGTTCTGCAAAAAGTCTATTACCCGGTTGCAACACCCTTGATTATCTCATGGGTCAAATTGTCCCACAACTATTTGTCAAGTCAGGTGTCAAGTCAATGCATTAACCCGAACTCTCTACAAATTGCGCTCTGATCTGTCTCAAAATTCGAATGAAGAAAACAAGACTGCTCGTAGCAGGGCGAAGCCCTGTATATTATGACTGAGTTTTGATTTCTATTGAATATTTTAAATATAATAATTGATAAAACAAGAGGTGAAAAAAAATTAAGAAAAATATTTCGTCATTTTTTTTTGAAAATCATCCACCACACGCTGCGTAAAGTACAAAGTGATAAATTTAGGATTTGGCAAAGTATTAAATAGACCAAAGAGCATGCATCTATTAAGAACTATTTCTACATAGAGGCGAAGCTTCGCTTTGCAAACACTAGCGTTAACACGACATAAAGCAGCTCAAAAGTGCAATAAGCCTCGAATTAGTTAAAATTCGGCTACGTCTCGGAATCGATCTCCGAGCAACAGTAAGGCGCTACAGTAAATATATGACAAAATTGGAACTCAGAACCGCTCTAAGTGATATAACTTCAGCAGCAAAACTCATCGAAGCAAAACTCTTCGGCAGCAAAAACAGCATCGCAAGGTCAACTGAAAAATGCGAAAAATCACGGTTCATTTTTCTCCGTGAAAACAATATACAGTAATTCCTGAATGTAGTCGGCAAACGGCCCTTCACCATTACCAATATAATTAGGAAAAACAACGACTACCGATTATTTTGTATTGAAAAAGAAATTTTATCACTACGTATTTCGGCATTGAGAATAGCATTGAAACAGAACATGACCTTTTTTGGTCAGGTTTCAGCGAAATAGCCTCTTGAATACTCAAAAAACCGCCCACAAAAAGATCAAGCATAAAACCCGATAGATCAAACGCCCCGTAATATCATATCATTCACATCCTTTTCACAGCTCAAACATCGCAAAAATGACCTAAACTTTTATATTCTACAAATTTCCGGTTATTACTACCTGTTGATTAAAACTAGGAGTCATGAAATCAACTTACGTCTGATGCTCAGGTTTTATTTACAAATTCCTGCGATTATGAGATCACAAACCCCTCTATCAATGCTTGTAAGCAAAACCATCTTACTTTGTCTTTAATTAAGACCACTACAAGATGGATTGATAAAGATCGTCTAGTGGTCATTATAGTTTTAAATTGTTAATTGACTTAAATTATTTAGGGATTACCTAAATTTGTATACCTGCAAAACAAAGCCGACAGAAAAAAATGGCGAATTCAAAGAAGACGAAGAAGTGTGGATAACACCGATATTTTTAAGCACCGGTGATTCTTAAAAAATGTTTACATTTTAAAAAATTTTTGAAGAAAATGGATAACACAGATATTTACAGGCACTTTTTCGCTCCATTTGCACTTTGTAATTGAAGTGGGTAATTCGCAATGGCAAACGATATTGAATTGAACTTGAAAATAGTTAATGCCAAATTAATGGCAATATCGGTAGCCTTCAGTAAATTAATCGGTTGAAACTATAGCTTTTTAGGTAACTTAGCTTTTTGGACACGGTTTTTACACGGTGATAAAGTTGGACACGGCGATAAAGTGCAATCCGACATCGAAATGAGCATTTTAAGGTAAATTAACTTCGTCTAAAATCGTTGAAAAAAAATATTGCCAGAAGTAACAATCAATCAATCTAACCACGGAAAATCAAATTTCACAAATTTTCAAAAAAACGAACTTTCAACATAATTTGTTTCCATTCGCTTATTCAAAATTAATATATTGGTTAAACCTAGGATAATTACAACCAAGTTAGACAGAGAGGCTAAGCGGAACTTCGCATCACTTGCGATACATAAAAAACATAAGAAAAAATGAAAAAACTCGAAAAAACTAGGTCTACTAAAATTTAAATGTTCGTATGTCTCGATAAAAACTCATTGTGGGCAATCATGCCAGACATTTGAATATCAACCAAAGAGACAAAGCTGAGCTTCTCGCCTATTGCGATACTACCCAATCAAAAATTTCGCTTATCTCGATAAAAGATAACTAGGGGCCCAGCTTAAGCTTGTGTTTGATTATTTTTGTATGTAATATACTGATGCGGGATGAAATGGGTAAAATCAAAAATTAGATCTTGTCCAAAACCTTAGTTGTTTCTCTTGCTAAATTAAGTGAGAAGAGTTCAAAAGTTTTCATATATTGGAATTTTCCAAAAACATAACATTTATCGTACAAAAAATTAAGGATTCGCCGCTTCCGCAGAAAAAAAGGTTTTAAGAAATTTTTAATAACGGCAAAAAGTTCAAAACTTGTTTTTCAGAAATCTGTAAACTTTTTTTCTACATAAAACAGATAGTAGTAGCTAGTAGAAGCAAAAAAAAATTAGGCTTAGAGGTGTACGCAAAGGAGCTTCCCAAAAAATTTTCTCTGGATTGAAATAAAAATCTCAGATGGTGGAGAAAAGTTTTCTAGAAAATTCGAAGTTCACAAAACGGTCAAAAAATCAAAATATTGACTTTTCTAAGGGCGATGTTTTTTGTTTAAAAAATTGTGAGTGGCCGCTAATGCCGGGACGCTTCGCACTACCCGTTATCTCTATTGAAACCAAAATCTCAGATTTTGGAGCGTAGTTTTAGAGAAAACGAAAAAAAAATCAAAATTATGGGTGAAATATTCCCTCCACAGAGGTTTTCGAAGTTGCGAAGGCTGTAGACAGGGGGATGAAGTAAAAAGAGACAAGATGAGTATGCAGGTACACAGGGAAATATTCGATCTTTACACTATTATCCCTTTTTGAAAATCAGAAAAGTTTTTAAGAAATCATTTTTTTTTCAAGTCAGAAAGAAACCAATCCCTTACATTTCTATTAACCAGGAATTCTCGGTAAACATGCCTAGCAAGACATTAGAATTTTAAATCAGCAACGGAAGAAAAACCTATGAAGCGGAAACCAAGGCGACTATCATGGAACAGACACAATTTTAGCCAAAAAACATTGATTTTGAAAAAAAAAAACATTCACAAATTGAAGTCCCCTAGAAACTACAATGAACATCACTTGCAACAACCATGATACTTGCTTACAGCACAAAAAATCCAAGATGTGGCGATTAAGGCAACGAAGTTTGAGCAGATAAACAAAAGCCCGACAAATTTTTACCAGAAAAAAAATCAATTGCATTCAAAATGAAAAAAAAAAACAGGCGCGGCCGGGATTCGCACACCAGACTATAGGAAGCAATGGCGACCGCGTTATCGCCAGGCCAAGTGCGAAGGAATCTGAAAGTCGTTAAAATTCAATAGCAGAGCAAGTTGAAAAATTGTAGGAAAAGTTGTTACGGGGTAGTTCCCGATTACAAGAAACTTGGTCTCGCAAGTGTAATTAGAAATGGATGTGCACTTGCACTTGCAACCACAATAAAACTTGCTTACCGTACAAAAAAAATCCGTGATGGAGTAACTAAGCCGACATATTCGACAAAACTTGAGCGGACGCCAGTTGAGCCGAAAAAAAACTTTTATAAAAAAAATTGTACAAGTTTTCAAGTCCTCCTGAAACCACAATGAACACTTGCACTTGCAAATACAATGAATTTTGCTAACAGCACAAGCTAAATCAGCGATGTGGCAATTAAGCCGACAAAACTTGAGCAGATAAACGAAAGTCTGATTATACAATTTAACCGGAAAAAAAATCAATTGCATATATACTGAAAAAAAAAAACAATTCCCGACGGGGCTCGAACAAAGAAGTCAGTTTTTTCTAAAATTAATCTGGAAAAAACAACATTTACAAAAAATTATACCTTTGTCTCGAAAGATGTTCATACAGAGCCTTAACAAGCATTCAGAATCAATGAGCGAGCGGAATCTGAAGTGACAAAATGTGGGTCGACTCTCGTTATGCCGAAAATAAATCTCCTGTCAAAAACAAATTCAAGCTATCAAATTTCTCCTGAAACACGCAAAAAATTTTGAAAATCCCTCTGGAAATTGCACAATATTTAAAGGAACAAAAGTAATAAATATCTCAAAATCAGAGTCGGTAAATTTATGAACTAAAAAGCAACTTTCCACACAGAGACGAAATAGAGCTACACACCACTTGCATTTCAAAAAGGAATGGCTATGATTGAAATCAAATTTTAAAAAATCCTTTTTGTCAAAAAAAATACAAAAAAAGTCCAAAATATCCGGAACAAAATTACCTGAACCATTCAAAAATTTACAAAGAGCTTTACGAAGGCTAACGAGAAGTCGAACTTTCAAAAAACTCCTTTCTGCGGGAACTAGGTCAGCAAAAGTGAGCAAGCACAAAAATCTGAAGGAGAGGAAAATTTTGAATTTGCAAAGAAACAGGTCCCAACTGGATTCGAAGTCCTGGGCTCTGTCATCTCAAGCATCGGTGTTGTTGTATTTTGGAAGAAAGCTTTCAAAAATCGGTCAGCGGGAATCAAGCCAACAAAAATGGCAGACGGACGAAAAAGCTTAAAAGTTTGCAAAAAACAGGTCCCGGTCGAATTCAAACCACAGGCCTTTGCCGTCTCAAGCCGTTGTTGTACCTCTCCACATGCGCCGGATGGTTGACTGAATTTCAAGTTATAATCAGAAAACATACAAGAGAAAGCAAACTGAAAATAAATTTAAAAATCAAACAAAGAATTGCTTAAAAATTTTTTCTTTTCAAACTGAAAGTTCTAACGTGTATAAAAAGCGTGTTTGAAAAAGACTTTCATCGTGTTACCTTCTTCAAATTGAATTAAATAATTAGTTGAATTGAATTTTTTATTTTAAAAAAACACCCGGCAATAAGCCGACAGAAACTGGGCCAAAATCAATTCAGCCTCCAAATATTTTTTTTTTCACAGAAGATCCAGTAAAGCATTAACTTAAGTCAAAATAACTCGGTGTTAAACATGCAAAGTGCTGCAAAAAGAGATCTTGAAATTGGAGATCATCCTGTGAACAAAGCTCTTGACGGAAAAAAGTCTAGTACCCAATTGCAATACCCTTGCCCTTCGCAAGATTAATTATAGTATAAACTGTTTGATCGAAAAAATAAAACCCAAGATTTGGAAAGATGCTGCTTAGAAAGCATACCAGATAATAAAAAATGCATTCATTAGGAAACAAAACGGAAAATCAGCCGACAGAAATTAGGATGAATCCCACAAAGCCAATAAAAACCTGTTGCTTTTCAGATTCTTTCAATAATGATATTTGATTATTTTAATTAACTTCTACACAGAGGCGACGCTACGCTTCGCAAACACTTGCGAGAACATGACCAAAAAGCAGCTCTAGAAAGTGCAAAAGGAAAAAAATAAAAATAGGCCTCGAATTAGCAAAAACTCGGCCAGGTCTATGATTCGATCAGCGACCTACTGCAATCAAGAGATTTTGAGTCTCACGCACTATTCCCTCAGCCACGCAAGCTTAACAATATACTAATAAATTGCCAATGCAATTCAGCGAAAGTGGGACGAAATACAAATAGACTCAATTTTGCAAGTAATAATTTGGAATAGAACAAATTGAAGGAATCCACACTTTGCATGAAACAAATCGCAAAGCATTAAACTGCATTATGTATTAATTTTACATTTCAAAATATTGCTAGATATTGAGTTTGAAAAATTCTGAAATCGAGTTTTTATTATTGTGATGTTCGGAACAAATCGCTTTTTACGGCTCATTCGATGAATTTAAATTGCATCAGGCATCAGCTGTGTTAATTTAATGCTATTAGAATGTCAGAGCACATGGTATCAAAAAGCTGTAAAGGTGCCCCAAAAGTGGCACCAATATTTTCGACTTAGGTTGGAAAAACGAAGGTTCGTACCAATACACTAGCTTCGCAAGTGTAAAATGAACTAAGAGGTGGTTTTATTTGAACTTTCATGAAATTGAGCGTGTCAGCCTTCGCGTGATAGCGACTGCATTATCTGTACGAATTGCTTTCACGTACTCAAAACGGATCTGAGAACTTAAAAGAAAAGTTGTTTCAGGAAAAAAGTGTTAATTCCTTATTACAAGTCTCTTGCTCGCGCATGTGAAATAAACCTGCACTAACTGCTCCCCTTACAAGAAAATGAGCATATGATCTTAGGGCTTGCTAGTCAAGCTAACATCTTTGGCGTGCAAACAATACTATGATTTGCAAAATTGATCTATCGATTTATCCCAAGGTTATTGAGAAAAAACGAACAAAGACTCCTACTTCGACAACTGCCTCGTACATGTTGTGCAGTTTACTTCGACCAAAACTAGATTATTTTTTTCCCTACCGTTTAGCTCTGGGATTCTCCAGTCCTCCGTTAGTTGACCTTCTCTCCAACTCCTCCTCTTCATCCTCTTCGTCTGCAACGGGCACGTCAAAGATATAACTGGCGTACTCATCGCACGAGACAACTGCATGATGCAGATATTCAGTGATAAACTTTACGTCATCATAGCAAGCCATTCCACCTAATATTTGTTGAAGGCTGACAGTTTAAGGCATGCAAAATCTGAATTTTAATCCAATATGCGCAACCTGAATAATCGTTTTTCGCGTCAAAATGAAGCGACGTTTAAATTTTGGAAGAAATTTTCGTTTTACAATTTGCCTGCTGGTATATCAGGGCGACTACCTGAATGTTTCGACTGCACTTTAAGGCCAATGAAAGTTTTGGGGTTGAAAAATTGATGAAATAATCGAAAATAATTATTATTTTTTTAAATGTATTCCCCACGGACGCATGTCAAATACAAAGGAATGTATTCATCATCTTGTATCCTAATAACACAGCCGTCAGATAATTTTCCTCAATTAAAATTGGAAAGCATTAATCTACTGTTTACGCATGTTATCAGAACGCAATATATGGCACGTTATTTATCCCAAATTGGGCAAATTAGCGTGCATAACGGAAATTTTTGATTCCATCTAAAAATATTGTCTGGAGATCAAATGTGAAAAAAGAACTGAGATCATTTGTAAGTTATAGGGGCTAGAAAAATCGGAAACTGACTGAATAAAAAATCACTCCCCAAGCACTTTATTCGAAATTCGGAACAAGGCTGCCGTAATTGCAGCTTGTTCCTACTTTTATTCCCAATTTTGAACACTAATTTAGACACCTTCGTTTTTCTTTCCATTATTCCACCACACGCAATATCAAGTGATAAATTTTGCGTTTTTATCAAAAAAATCGAGAGTTACAAATTTCAGAATTCCATGTTAACTGCTGTCATGGGCTTTTCATCTAAACAGTTTTTTGGAAGCCGAAACAAAAATTATCTACTCAGAACTCACTCACCAAAAAACAAAGAATTAGGATGACATGGCCCTAAGAGCGCCAAGATTTGAAACTGCTTAGCTCGACCAAAAATATCTTTCTGCTGATTTCTTCAAAAGGTATGTTAGCGCTGAAGAAAAAAATGGCTTTGTTCGCCGAATGAACTTCGAAAAAGGATTTAGAGAGGAAAATATGGCAGCAAGAATTAGGAAAACAGATTTTACGAAGTCTGCTTTTTAAAAAGGTTTTTATAGATATTTAATTGGTTTTCGTTCATAAGGCAATTAATAACTGAGCAACAATCTCCCATAAACCACACGTTAAACAAGACAGTCAAAATGATTATTTTACATCAAATAGGGTCATGTTAGTGTCGAGTACAGTTACATGTTGCTCTCAAATTGTGCCCACGAAATAATTTATGCACTTCACATTCACAGAATGGAATCACACTAAATTATTTTACAGCTTAGTACGAAGTCGCCATAGTAATAAATCAATCACCAAAAACAAAACGAAAGTCCTTTGATCAATCATCAGGTGTTACTTCATATCAAGTTGCGTGACAGCTTCTTTGCAATCTCAAAATGTTCTTCAGTGGGCATATTGATGTTACACATCATTTCAGTAAATTAAGATTCGAATGTCAAAAAGTGTTCTGGATTCTTGGGACTGGATAATAGTGATAAATTAGATCTTCTGGAACGCGGCTACATCTACTGACTGTACGAAGTCCTCGAAAGCGGTGATGTGTTCTTCGAGAAGGTCTGTGCCTACTTTGTCGTCTTCAACTACACAACCGATCTGCAGTTTATTGATTCCATAACTGAAACAGATAGAACTTACATCATGGTCTCAGAGTAACGGATGATTCTTAGAATTATGCTCATAACTCATTTGAAGCGTTTGAAAATTCAGTTTTTAAAAACGACTACTTTGGCATATGTTCAATTCCTCCGACACGCTAGATCAAATAATGGACGCCACTTAGACATCGCACCATATATGGTTCCATAAAAAGAACCTGTTCATATTTACCAATGGAGTAGCCAACCTGATTCTATTCGGTATCTATGTGAAATTTTGTGCCACCTTTTCATACCCAAATTTCGTAATAGAAAAAAGTAACCAATTCAACTGACCCAATCGCGACTAGTTTTCCGGCGCCCCATAGCAGTCCGTCGAGTTCGATGCCACGCACCATCTTCTCTAGTTCAGCCATGTCTGTCTCGTCATCCCAGGGCTTCACGTCCAGGATGATGGAGGACTTGGCAATCACCTGAGGTTTCTTCGCCTTCTTGTCATGGTACGCCTTCAGTCTCGCAGCCTGAAATGTTAAAGTAACTTACAATTAAAGTAACTAGTACTTATTCAGCCCAATACTTTTAAAGTAGTAACATTCCCTTATATTTCGGATCCATTCCCAGACCCTTTGCAGGCACTTTAATTATATAATTGCTTCAAATCTTGAAGATTGTCATCTTAGAAACACCCGATACAATAAGTTTAGGCATTCTTACCGTTTCGTCGTCAACCTCATCGTCATCTTCGTCGTCATCTCCGAACAAATCATTATCACTGTCTTCGTCTTTTTCAGCTGCTTTCTTGCCATTGGGCACAGGTGCTGCCGAGGCTTTCATATCTGGCAAGTCTCCACTGACAAATTTACCTTTTTCACCTTCATCGAATGACGTGATGTGTCTGTACCATCTGGCAAGGTGGGGGTACTTGTCTGCTTCCGGAGGAGATTGGATTTCCGAGGCCAGTTTCGCGTCGGCTGATGACGGGATAAAGCCAACGACGTAGCTCTTTGTGGCCAGAAAAGCGTTGATTGACTCGAAATCTCCGTAAGGCGTGGACATTGTTGTTGTTGGGCGTTCAACGCGTAACTGAAAAGTTGGCCATTATTCCGCAGACGAAAATCAAGGTCACAACAACGTGTTCGAAAACTGGTGCCGAATTATCTCAGAAAAGCGCAAAACGTGCAGAAAAAAATAACGATCATGCATTCAATCTAGCGCAAAGACTGTTGTTTCAGCAATACACCAATTACTCGATTCCTAGATTAAAGCTTGCAAAAGTTGAAAAAATATGACAAAAAAATTGACATTAGAATAAATTGACACCGCGGCTCAGCGTAGCTTCGCACCACGTGTGATACAACACAAGAGTAGCATTGCAAGCTAGCGAATAAACATAGACCGAAATCAGTCAAGAGAAAAAATTAATTCTAGAAAAACAATTGAAAAACACAATCACCAACATGGAGCTTTTAAGTAGCATTTACCGAGCAGCTGCCATAAGACAACCACCAACATTAATAAGCTTTTAGTATCACTTACCGAGCAGCTACCAAAAACATAAACATAGCCAACTGACAGTTGGAAAAGAGTAATGAACGCAAGAAAACAAAAACTGACTCGTTTTTTTTAAAAAAAACTTCCAACATTAAACTTTCAAAGTAATTTCAGAATTAATTTATGATTGACTCTTTTATGATAAACTAACTCAGTTTACGAAAACTAATTTAATACCGCTGGGAAAACTGAAATTCAAATCAACTAACTGAAATCGTTTTTCGTGATCTTTGCAACTTAAAGCATATTTTTGAAATTCACGAACAATTTATGATAGGTGTTTTTATTGATAAAAAATAATCCAATTTGAGAAAACTGGATTAATGGGTAAAAATACTTTTTTGCTGGGAAATTTGATAAATTCCATATTCGAAATTAGAAGCCGATCACGTTTTTCGTGTCCTTTAAACTTGTTCTATTTGAAAGTGAAGTTTGCCTTCCTTTTAACAAAGGAAATGAATTGAACTTAAAAAGAAATTGAAAGTCGAACCACGAAAGCACGAAATTGAGCGTTAACAAAATTTAAGTCTTTATCCTTAAAAAACACACAAAAAATAACTAAGACCTGTATAACGGTATTCGCTACGTTCATTACTCATAATTAGGTCATGAAAAAGATGGAGCGATTCAGTTTTAAGACTTAGAAATTTTACGCCCAAACAGTTTTGGATTATTAAAAACAAAAAATAAAATAAAATTTTCCCCTCAAATGTCACTAAATAAGTTGACTAAGCCGATAGAACATACGCCGAAACCATGCTAATCAGAGAAACAAGCAATCAAAAAAAACTTATTAAAACACACGTTGTAAGCTGACAAAACAACAGGAGTACTGTTAATTATAGGAAACTCCATGCTTTGCAAAGACGATAATCACGCATGTCCAATTTTTTACACATTGGTAAGAAACGTTGTTCACGTGAATAAAGTCTAATTGCCGATAACAAGACACTGATTTTCGCCAGTGTTAAGTAGCTGAAAATTGTTTCATTGCACCTGTAGTTTCTGGACTCGTATTTCATTATCACCTGTTCTTAATACTAGAATACTAAATTGTACTACAAACAATACTAGAAAAAACCTATTACTGAAAGTTAGTCAGATTACAATGAGCAAAATCTATAAATCTCCATAAGATTACTTTATTTCCTTTCAGAAGCAACTAAGATCATGTACAAATAGCTTCATGTTGCAGGAACACTCAAATCTGGTTACCTTATCATTTCTACCCCTCCCCCTGAAGCTATTTTGTTACAACCATCTCTGACTTCCCGACCCTTAAAATTTTCTTAATGCAACTATGACGCTAATAAAAACTACATTTAATTACTGAGATGCCTTCTAACGGTTTAAATTGAGACTTTGTGGTCTTGTAGCGACATTTGATCTTTCACGGGAATTGTAAAAGCACAGAAAAATCTGAATGGTTGGTCCAATAAATATTTTTCCGTAGATCCTGCAATATTTCTTGAAAAATCATCCAAAATCCCTGATCATATGAAAAATCAATAAGTCAATGGTCACAAACACTGGTATCAAAAAACGCAAACCTTCTGTCACTTCGTCAATCTTAACTCGTTATTTAAATAAAACTATTTGGACAACAAACAATCAATTCAACTCTGAAACAATTTCAAATCGAATCGACAGTCGAGAAATCTGGCGAGCCTTCTCATTTGGCAGACGTCTTCTTCTTCTCGTTCAGTTTCATGCTGTCCTTCTCCTTCTGTTCCAGGAACAGTTCAATGTGACATGGGCTGGCCATGTAGGGATTGATTCGACCGTGTGCTCTGTAGGTCCTCCTTCGGATCTTGGGAGCCCTGTTCACCTGAAAAAAAGTTCAACGTTCAACGTTAACATCGAAATTCACACTTTTTACACTTCGCCCTCTTACACCTGATTGAAACTCTTGTTTACACTGCTATCACTGCGAATTTGAGAAAACCGGATCAATAGGTATTTTATATTCCGCTGTGGAATATCAGAACGTAAATCTCATCCGTGCTCGTTGCTTGAAGGTCAAACATTACCCAGCCGAACAAAAATTAGATGTAGATCTTCAACAGATGTACAACATCCGTTCTCAGCGAAGGGCTCATCAGCTCTTATGTTGGTCGTTTCCTTTGTAGATTGTCTTAACTTAAAAATCTAATTTCGAAACTAATTGTCGGCCACGTTTTTTTCTTGCCACTGACACTTTCCTTTTTGCAGAGCGTAAAGATACTTTAAAAATGAACAAACATGACCTCAAATTTTATATTTTACAGAACTAATGCCGGTAATATTCGGGATTTCCCACGAAAACGATTACTAGAGGATACCCCCAAATAATTCCACCACTTATGATTTATTTTAATTAGCCCAAAACCATTGTAATTACCTGGATGTGGGTAACATACAGATTCTCGGAATCCAGACCCTTAGACTCAGCATTGGCCTCTGCATTCTGTAGCAACTTCAGAATGAATCTGCAAGACTTCTCCGGCCATCGTCCAATGGCCCAGTTGTGGTTTTTACACTGAGCATGATGACCAGGTCCAGTAGTGAACCTTCTGAACGGGACAATATCCTTGTGCGCAATGACGTCTTCAAGGTACTTCTTGGCTCGATTCAGCTCCAGTCCTCGGATTGCCATCGCGGTCTCTCGGGATGTCTTGAAGTGGCATCTCAGATCCCTGCCATGCGCCTTGGAGCTGTTGTTGTCCTTTGCTGGTTCTCGTGCATACCTAACCATTTTGAGTTTCCAAAAATACTGAAAAAAAGCAAATCATTTAAAAAAAAGCTCCCCGACCAACACTGATGCTTAATTATTAGCGCTTATTTACTTGTATTTGCCAGTCTTCAAGCAAAAAGTTTTGACAATGATTTCTCAGTAATCCATAAGTAGCGCTTGAATTGACACTTGATAAAAACTAACCCAATTAGAGAAAGCTGGGTGAAAACAACTAGGAGAAAATTGGGTTAAGACTAAAACCAGGGGCGGATCTAGGATTTTCTCGAGGGGGGGGCGGATTTTCAAAAAATTTTCCAAAATTTTGACGACCTTTTTTTTTTTAGGTCGACCAAATTGATTTTTCGAGCTCTCCCAAAGCACTGTTTTGCCCCTACTTTGGCAAAATTTTCTGCGCCGCAGGCAAATTTTTAAAAAAACAGTCAAAAAAGCCGTTTTTAGGCAATTTTTGAAAAATTTTGACAAAAAAATCGCGTTTTTTTGGCGCGCGCTCCCCCTCAAAGATAGTATATATTGGCGCCAAAGGCGCCTTTAGAAAAATTTTAGGATCGGTCGGCCAAAAATGGATTTCTGAAAAAGTATCAAAGGGGGGACCCTTTGGGTCGGCAGGGGGTCGAATCCCTGAGGGGGGGGCGTCCGCCCCCCCCCCCCCCCTAAATCCGCCCCTGACTAAAACAAAAACATTTTTGAAACTAAATCTCAATCACGCTTCTACGCGCTTTTCGCAACTACAGAGCTTAGATTGCCTTATTTTTAGCAACTCAATTTCTATTGTACTTGAGTCCGAGAGCTCGAATAAAGAAAAAAATCACGTCAACCCTGAAAAAAAAAATTGAGCGCGAAAAAAGTTTCTTGGAAAAAAACAACAGTTAATAACAGACGACCTATTATTTTTTTCGTTAAAACTTACAAGTTGGCAAGCGCAGCATTGTACGCTAGCGAATAGAAAAGGGAAAACATGTTGGAGAACATTTTTTTTGGAGAATTTCAATGTCAGAAAAAAACAGCCGAGAAATACAACCACAAGCGCAAAACTAGCATTCAGTATTTACCGTGGGTAGACACACATTATTTACCGTGGGTCGACAACACGTGGGTGGACGCCGTAAGAAATTGTTGAAAAAATTTTGAGCGATTAAGTCTCAAAACTTTTGCATCAAAACTACCTGAATTTTATTTATCAGTTTTTGCGGTTCAAAAAATACAAAAAGCCGAAACTATTTCAATTGCAAAAAACCCGGGTTGCTAAAATGGCAAACAGGCAAAGCTCAGATTTCCAGCATTGCGAATTAGCAAACAAGACGTTAAACGATGTTACCATTGACAGAGGAGAAGCGGAGCTTCGCATCACTCGCGATACAATGCCTTGCAATGCCGATACAAAAAGAAAATGAGACGGAACTAACAGAAACAGAACAAAAACAACCTGGGAAAAACGAAAATAAATTCAGAAAACAGTGAAAATACAAACAAACATTATTAAATCAGTTTTTCCGAGCGGCCACTAAGCCGACAACAAGTATGTAGCCGTCCATTGAGACGAAAACAAATAAACGCCACAAACTGTTTTTCGAGAAAAAGTTCGTGCTATTAAGTATTAAAACTTCAAAATCTTGCAAAACTACCTGACATTTTCAAAAAAAAATTCGCCAGTTTTTGCATTTGAAGCAATACAAAATTGAGAAACTAAGCCAATAAAACATCAGCAGAAACTATTTAGACGAATATAGCTTTTAAGCGAGACAAAAAACGCAAAAAGGAAAATATACAAGTTCAGGGCTAGAAAATTTACAAATAATAGGAGTAAATCGAAAACACTTGCATCTACCATGAAAAACGCTGAGAACACGGCAATTCCACGATGCAGCAACAAAGCCGACAAAACATAAGCAGGCAAAGGAAAGTCCGACAATTTGATTTTTCGCGATTTTTTTTTCTATTTTTAGACTGAAAAAAAACAAGGTCCGACCCGGGCTCGAATTCTACACCTTAGGTTACAAGGGCAACCGCGTTACCTCTAGGCCAAGTGTGAGTAAGTCTCATGCGAAGGTTCACTTATAAAACAACTAAGAAAAGCAAGTAAAATTTGTAAGATAAGTTATTTACGGGAAAAAAGTCTAGTTCCCGATTACAAAACACTTGCTCTATGTGCCGATTACAAGAAACTTGCTGTTGCAAGTGTAGAAAGAACTAGAAAAACAAGTTAAAAGACTAAATTTATTTTAAAGTTTAAATTTATTTCAAGTTTTTCAACGACACCCAAGAGACCGAAATTCTATGAATCTAAAAAATCTCACCGGAAACTAATTGGGATTTACATATAAGGCAAAAAAGCCAAAAAAAATTAAAGCCGAGAGCCAATAAGCTGAGAATCAACCAAATATTACTGGTAAAATCTTATTGGAAAAATACATATAAGGTGAGGTAATTATCATTAGAATCTAATAAATATCACCGGAATATTATTGGGATTTACACATAAGGTGAACAAGCCAAAAGAATTAAAGCTGAGAGCCAATAAGCTGAGAATCAACCAAATATTTTTGGTAAAATCTTATTGGAAAAATACATATAAGGTGAGGTAATTATCATTAGAATCTAATAAATATCACCGGAATATTTTTGGGATTTACATATAAGGTGAACAAGCAAAAAGAATTAAAGCCGAGAGCCAATAAGCTGAGAATCAATCAAGTATTTTTGGTAAAATCATATTGGAAAAATACACGTACTGTCTGCATACACAAATGCCATCTATGTACTGAATGCACGGTTGTATACACAACTTTGAATCAAAACCTAGATCTTAGTTGATGATAATTAAGCTGAAAACCAATCCGCAAAAAAAATCAAAATTCCATAATTATACATACAACTAGATTAATCAAAATTACTGAAGACAGTTTTGAATTAGCATCGGAAGAAAGCGTACCAGGAGGTAACAACGACGAAATTACCTGAGCGATGGACGAGACGAAGCCACCTCAAACAAACCTTCTTCTCCTTCGGAGATAGAGGATTACCCAGAGGCGAAGCGGCGATTCGCTAAAACCCATTGCACTACAAAATAGTGAATAAAAAAAGACAAGTAAAAAAAAGTTGTTGGAAAAAATTAGTTGAAAAAATAGCTTGACAAAAGTTGGAAAATTACAGCTACCAAATCTTCTTTTTTGTATCAGATGAAGTCAATAAACATCCCCTAACAATGGAAATCGTTTACCGAGTGGCAACAAAGGCGACAAACTTTGCGTCGAAACCTGTTGAGCCGAAAACAAAACTGTTGTCATAAAAAATTTCAATAAAAAAAATAAAAAATTTTACACCCCATCTAAACTGAAACACATAGTCCTAAACGGATAAATTTTGTCCTCGAAATTACGCAAAAACAATTGACTGTTTAATTTTTTGAATTTAAAAACAAACGAAAAATCAGACATGGTAAATTTACAATATCGCGAAGTTTCAGCTTTAGTAAAATTGTTTAAATTGGAAGAAAACCCATGCTTTAAAAATATAACCAATAACAACCCAAATAAAAAAACGCAATTAAAAAAAAACGAAAAACTAACCGACAAAAACTGGGACAAACACGAGGTACCCAAAAAATTGAGAACATTGTTTTGAAAAAACAATTACAAGATGAAACGGGCTCGAACTAATTTTTAGCTAAATAATAGTACTTTTACTTGAAATTTCAAGAAATTGAGCATGTCAGATGAAAAATCATTTTGATGTAAAATCCTTGGGACAATGTTGTTTATTTACGGGAAATAAAAACTCTAGCGCCCAATTGCAATACCCATGCTTATCGCAAGGGTAATCAAAAAAAGAACCCTGCTGATTATGAAGACGAGGCAACAATAACAACAAATATAAAATAACCGAGCAGAAAAAAATTAAACGATTCGACACTAATGCAAAAAAATTTAAGTCCCCCTCCCCTCAAAACACTTACGCAAAAACATTGCGATATGAGTCCACTGAGCCGCTTTGAAATAGGCCGAAACATATTCAGCCAAAACAATACAAAAAGGATGAATATTTAACAATAAAAGCAACTAACTGTTGCGGTATTTCCACACAGAGGCGAAGCTGCAAACACTAGCAAGAACACGGCAAAAAAGCAGTTTTATAAAATGAAATCAGAAAAGATAGAAATCAGCCTCGAAGAGTAAAAACTTGCTACGTTTGAGCTTCGAAGCTGATACCTCGAGAATTGGAGTCTCATGCCCTGCCCTATCGGCTACGAACGCTTAACAACCGACAAACACTAGTTACAAATAACGCAGCTACGTATGCTAGCAAATTGCAAATGCAATTTAGGAAAAGTGGCACTAAATACAAATAGACACAACTTTGCAAGTAATATTTTGGAATATAAGAAACTGAATATAATTTGTATGTAATAAATTGGAAAGCATAACGCTACTTTATGTACAAATTAAGCATTTCAAACTTCTGAAACCGAGTTTTTATTATGATGTTGTTTGAAACAAATAGCTTTTATTTCTGTTCATTTAATGAATTTCAAACCAATCAACCGAGTTAACTTATTAGTATTCGAATGTCAAAGCACATGCTATCAGAAAGTCATAAATGTGCCCCAATATTTGCGACATAAGTAAGAAAAAAAGAATTGTCATAGTATAACACTAACGCTCACTGTAAACAGTGTAAACAGAGGACAGGAGATGCATCAGTCCGCGAGATGAGTCCTGTAAATAAAGTTATTAACGGGAAAAAAAGTCGAGTACCCACTTAGGGTACCCTTTCTCATTGCAAGGATAAAAACAACAGGACGAGCGATGATCGTCAATTTTCGTAAGAATCGTTTAAAACAGAAAAAATCCATGGACAAAACCCATGCTTCACAAAAAAATCCATATTTCAGCTGACAAAGTAAGTAAGCAAACGTAATTCCAATTCAATTTTTTCCTAAAAAATCAATTTCAGATATATTGAAAGAAAAAACAAGTTCCGAACGCGTAACCTCTAGCCCAAGTGGAAAAGAACCTGTGACGTTGAATACCAAAAAAAATTAAGCTTGCGACAATAAAAACATTGCATTACAAGACAGTGAATCAAAAAAGAGACGGAAACTATTATGATATGGCCCTATTATGATATATACTAGTTCAGTAAAATTAGAAAATTTGATATTTCAACTTTCGAGGTTATCTAATTTCTATATAAGCAAATCATGTCACTTTTTGTTGCGACCATTGAAAATAAGAGAGGAGCTTTTTATTCGGGTGTGTTTCAGTTTTTTCTTTTTTTTCACGCAAACTCAGGTACCACAAATAAACATTGGAATGGTTCAAATTATGTGACAATTTGAAGCCCTATCAGCTGTGATTTGAACACTAAAACTGCCCCAGTGTCGAAAAAAAAACAGAATTAAATTTTTAGACAGCCTAATTTCGAACGAGTAATGCAATCGAGTAACATTCTTTTTAAAGAAATTAAACGAATCTAGATTTTCTAAAAAAAAACTTCATGTACAAAACAGAAAATTTTTTGAAAATTTTTTTGAAGTATTTGTTTGGTATTACTTTTTAGAAGAAAAACGTCTATCTTGACTAATTTACTAACTTTCTACAGGTTGTGTAGTTCTCGAATCACATCACGCATTGTTTTAATGCGTGGTGTGATTCGAAAACTGTACAAACGCGACAAAAGTTAGTGAATTAGGCAGACCGACGTTTTACTGCAAAAAATGAATACCAAATAAATATTTGGAAAACAATTTTTAGAAATCTTATTTTTTGTACAAGAAAACCTTTATTGCCGAATAAGCGCTGAATGAAACATCCAAAATGAATTTTTTTGTAGTAAAATCTAGTTTTGTTCAGTTTGTTTAAAACTAACGTTACTCGCTCAAAATTAGGCTTAGTTGGAAGAATTTCATAGTTTTTCTCGACACCAGGACAATTTTTGTGAAATTTTTTATGTTCGAATCACTAACTTGATTTTTTTACGAATATGGTCGAAACATTCTGTGCTGCGATATGTCCACTCTCTCCTCCGCATTCATTTCTCGCTATAAATTTTCCTGACACTAAGACTACTCTCACTATACTGAGGAAACTCAATTCATATATTTAATTTCAAAATTCGAATCTTCCAAATTCAGGCTATCTAGTTGCTTGGAAAGAGTTATTTCACTGAAAACGGGCGCCCTGGATATCTCTTTAAACCCTAATTTAGTGAAAAATGCCATGCTTGCTAAATTCGACTCTGAGATCTTTGCGATGATTTCTTTAAGCTTAAGACTCTTGACGACATAGAAAATAAAAGCATTATAAGCCGCCTTTCCAAAACCTTTGCCTCTTTGTTCTTCACTAGCCACCATCATGTTAATTTCTCCGCGTGAATTTTCCGTGTCAATAAACAAATTGATGTCTCCAATTAAACATCCGGTTTCAAGTTTGCACCATTCACATATTGGTCTATCCGATACTTTAGAGTTAGGATTGGATTCACATTGACTCCCGAATTCTGAACGACATAGGCTGAAAACAATCGATACTGAAGAACAGGCACAAACAGCTCCGGAGTCAGACAACTTCTTTACTGAAACTGGATTAAGAATGAGGAAAGTCAGTTTATCTTTATCATCTAGCCACGACTTTTGCATCTCATACTCTTCTCTTGAGGTCAAAAGTTCAGACGCTGTCAGGCATCGTAAATTCTCGTCAAGCATCCACGAATGATACTTTTCAACGTAATTTTTGCCGTAGGGAACCAACCAGCATACTTTTCCCATGACAATGACATTTTGATTCAATCGCATTTCTAGGAAATTGTTTCAAACAGAAGCCTTGTTCATTTCTTCACTCCAAAAACATACAGATACGGGATACAATCTGATGATTGATGTCTTTTTTATTAACAAGTATTACGAGTTTGTACAATGCATTATTTTAGACAAAAAGAGTAATTATAATCAGTTACCAGTGAGGTTCTGACAAAAACTTGTGTAAATATAGAAAAATTGACAAGATTTAACTTTATTTTCTATAGGTCAAAACATTGGTGGCATGTCACGGAACCGAATCATGGGGATTAGTTACTACGTACCATAGGGGGAGGCGAATAGTTAAAGAGCTCCTTCAAACTAACTTATAAACATATAACTAACTTATAATCCAACCAGAAGTTTCAAAATTTTGCTAAGGAATTGCTTTTGTTTTTTCCCCTGTTTTGAAAGCTTTAGTGGCATGATATAGCTAGTTAAGAATGTTTTACTGTTTTCTTTTATTTGGGGTACCCCTTTCTCTACCCCAACCCCCCCCCCCCCACACACACACACGCACACACACACACACACACTTAGTCCCATCAATCTTTCCTCCCACTCCCTTCTCCTCCTCCCAATTACCCCTACCCATACCCACATTTACCCCACCATGCCCCCGGCAAACAAAAAAAAGAGGTAATCAGAAGGTCAAAAGTATCATAGTAACCGAGGTTACAGTCAGGAGTCCCTTCATCACGTATTCCAGTCAAAATCCTTGGAATTTTCTAGATATCGAAGTGATAATGATAAAAGAAGATGACAAGTGTTTAAATCCTTTTCAATAAAAGTCGATACGCGTTACGTTACTTCAATAAGAACACGCAACTCGACACGAGAAAATATAATATACAAGTGTTACAAATAAAAATTTTCATCGAATGTTATTTTGTCATTTATTGTTCCGAGTACACAGGCGGCGTTCGCAATCTGTATTGCCAGGGAGATTCTCCGTTTCAAAAAGCTGCCTGCTCTGGGCTTGTAAAAACTGGTTTTCATCCATTTTCATGTTAGTGACCTTGCATAACGAACTTCTTAGTAATTTGTCATAGCGTTCCAAAAAATCATTTTGCAAAAACAAGGGCTCGTACTCAAAAAATATAGGAGTTTTGGCATGCTAAAGCAATTTTTCAGGAGGTAAAAACCATAATGGGCGTCTAGTTTGTCAATGACATCCGATATTTTTTCAAGCTCATTAATTTTTTCGTCGAGCAATTCTTTTCGGCGAAGTTCGCCGATTGGAGATCCTAAAATGAGGAGTTCCTCTTTTGGATTTCTTTGGGGCAAATTTTTCGAAATTGTGTTAAAATTGAATTATACTGTGTACCAGTAGTCGGTCCCAAAAAACAAAGTTCGCAACTTCTCAGTGTTCAAGCTCAGGCCGTAAATTTGTTCCAATTTCAGAATTGTGCCAGTTGGTCGTATTTGGAAGTTTGACCTTGAGCAATAAGAACAAGGTAAATTTGGGGTGAAATGGAATTTTTCAAAAAATCGACTTGAACCTGTAATGCTCAACTTTCTCGCGACAACTGAAAATCTCAGAAATACAAGATCAGAACAATCGAACTACAATCGCGGTAAAGTGGTCGAAAAAGCAGCGGGAAAATGCTACTCGCAATTTCCAAACATAAAATCACACTAGAGTAGAGCTGTCTTATCCTGAAATAGGAGACAGAACGATTAATTAGAAGTGGACCAGAGAGAACTTTCGGTGGAAAGGTGGCCAACCGAAGTCTCCCGATGGTCCAGCCCCAAAACTTATTTCTCAAGTTAAAACTAATTTCCTTTGCTGGAGTTCATTAATTACAAACTTCTTGAGTTAAAACCTAATTTCCTTTAATGCTAGAGTTGCTGATTAATTTAGTTACTCCAATTCACAAGTGTGCTGGTATGTGAGTACACAATTCATCTTCTTGAGTGTGTTTTATGATTGCTATGTTGAGGTAGGGAGAGTTTTAGGTTGATCTATCTGAAATGGATCAAAGTTCCACTGTCTAATGAAAAGTAACTAAACGGACTGTTCCGACCCTGTTTTCAACGGCGTTTGCGTATTTTGGGTATTTTGAGACCTACGTATGGGGAAGTTCCTATTTTATTTTCTAGAATGGGGGCTATTTTGGTAGTGGCCTTTAAGCTGTAACGAGGGTTTTTGTCTCATTTCGCAAGTGAACCGAATTGGCACCGACCATTCGAGGTAGAAAAACACAAAAGATAGTGTCCCTGACTCTTGAGCCAATGGCTATAGGGCCTATTTTTCTTTTAACTCATATGTGACTTAAGTAGAGGACTGTTAGATAGTGTTTTTATGGCGCTCCTGAGTGTTTTTACGACATCATGACTACGGAGTCGAACCCACTTGACACAGCTCCGGGCTACATGCCCATTCTAGAGTACCGGTGGTACGGTTCAGCGGGAACGTGTAAACCTTCCGGTTGTACCGTGATAGCTTCTAAGGAAAACTCGAGAAAATTCCTAGTACGCTCTCCGAAAGAGGCCTAGCTAACTGAGTAAGGGGGTTTAAACGGACAAAAAACGAGCAAAAGGACAAAAAGTGGAACAAAAACCGAAAAAGAATAGAAAAAGGAACAAAAACCATAAAAGCTCCCTAATTTTTTCGTCGAGCAATTCTTTTCGGCGAACTTTGCCGATTGGAGATCCTAAAATGAGGAGTTTCTCTTTTGTTTTTTTTTTATTTTGGGGCAAATTTTTCGAAATTGTGTTAAAATTGAATTATACTGTGTACCAGTAGTCGGTCCCAAAAAACAAAATTCGCACTTCTCAGTGTTCAAGCTCAGGCCGTAAATTTGTTCCGATTTTAGAATTGTGCCAGTTGGTCGTATTTGGAAGTTTGACCTTGAAAAATAAGAACAAGGTAATTTTGGGGTGAAATGGAATTTTTCAAAAGTTCGACTTGAACCTGTCAAGCTCAACTTTCCGCGACAACTGAAAATCTCAGAAAAACAAGATCAAAACAATCAAATTATAATAGCCGGAAAGTGGTCAAAAAAGCAGCGGGAAATTGCTATTGGCAATTTCCAGACATAAAATCACACTAGAGTAGAGCTGTCTTATCCTGAAATAGGAGACAGAACGATTACGAGAAGAGAAGATAATAGTTAGAAATGGACCAGGGTATTTTGGTAGTGGCCTTTAAGCTGTAACGAGGGTTTTAGTCTCATGTCGCAAGTGAACCGAATTGGCTCCGACCGTTCGAGGTAGAAAAACACAAGAGATAGTGTCCCTGACTCTTGAGCCAATGGTTATAGGGCCTATTTTTCTTTAACCTCATATGTGACTTAAGTAGAGGACTGTTACATAGTATTTTTATGGCACTCCTGAGTGTTTTTACGACATCATGACTACGGAGTCGAACCCACTTGACACAGCTCCGGGCTACATGCCCATTCAAGAGTACCGGTGGTACGGTTCAGCGGGAACGTGTAAACCTTCCGGTTGTACCGTGATAGCTTCTAAGGAAAACTCGAGAAAATTCCTGGTACGCTTTCCAAAAGAGGCCTAGCTAACCGAGTAAGGGGGTTTAAGAGGACAAAAAACGAGCAAAAGGACAAAAAGTGGAACAAAAACCGAAAAAGAATAGAAAAAGGAACAAAAACCATTAAAGCTCCATAATTTTTTCGTCGAGCAATTGTTTTCGGCAAACTTTGCCGATTGGAGATCCTAAAATGAGGAGTTCCTTTTTTTTTTTTATTTTGGGGCAAATTTTTCGAAATTGTGTTAAAATTGAATTATACTGTGTACCAGTAGTCGGTCCCAAAAAACAAAGTTCGCACTTCTCAGTGTTCAAGCTCAGGCCGTAAATTTGTTCCAATTTCAGAATTGTGCCAGTTCGTCGTATTTGGAAGTTTGACCTTGAGAAACAAGAACAAGGTAATTTTGGGGTGAAATGGAATTTTTCAAAAATTCGACTTGAACCTGTCATGCTCAACTTTCTCGCGACAACTGAAAATCTCAGAAATACAAGATCAAAACAATCGAATTATAATAGCCGGAGAGTGGTCAAAAAAGCAGCGGGAAATTGCTATTTGCAATTTCCAGACATAAAATTACACTAGAGTAGAGCTGTCTTATCCTGAAATAGGAGACAGAACGATTACGAGAAGAGAAGATAATAATTAGAAATGGACCAGGGAAAATTGGTAGTGGCCTTTCAGCTGTATTGAGGGTTTTAGTCTCATCTCGTAAGTGAACCGAATTGGCTCCGACCGTTCGAGGTAGAAAAACACAAGAGATAGTGTCCCTGACTCTTGAGCCAATGGTTATAGGGCCTACTTTTCTTTAACCTCATATGTGACTCAAGTAGAGGACTGTTACATAGTGTTTTCATGGCGCTCCTGAGTGTTTTTACGACATCATGACTACGGAGTCGAACCCACTTGACACAGCTCCGGGCTACATGCCCATTCTAGAGTACCGGGGGTACGGTTCAGCGGGAACGTGTAAGTCTTCCGGTTGTACCGTGATAGCTTCTTAGGAAAACTCGAGAAAACTCCTGGTACGCTCTCTGAACGAGGCCTAGCTAACCGAGTAAGGGGGTTTTAGGGGGACAAAAAACGGGCAAAAGGCCAAAAAGCGGAACAAAAACCGAAAAAGAATAGAAAAAGGAACAAAAACCATAAAAGCTCCTTAATTTTTTCGTCGAGCAATTCTTTTCGGCGAAATTTGCCGATTGGAGATCCTAAAATGAGGAGTTCCTCTTTTGTTTTTTTTTTATTTTGGGGCAATTTTTCGAAGTTGTGTTAAAATTGAATTATACTGTGTACCAGTAGTCGGTCTCAGAAAACAAAGATCGCACTTCTCAGTGTTCAAGCCCAGGCCGTAAATTTGTTCCGATTTCAGAAATGTGCCAGTTGGTCGTATTCGGAAGTTTGACCTTGAGAAATAAGAACAAGGTAATTTTGGGGTGAAATGGAATTTTTCAAAAATTCGACTTGAACCTGTCATGCTCAACTTTCTCGCGACAACTGAAAATCTCAGAAATACAAGATCAAAACAATCGAATTATAATCGCCGGAAAGTGGTCAAAAAAGCAGCGGGAAATTGCTATTCGCAATTTCCAGACATATAATCACAATAGAGTAGAGCTGTGTTATCCTGAAATAGGAGACAGAACGATTACGAGAAGGGAAGATAATAATTAGAAATGGACCAGGGTATTTTGGTAGTGGCCTTTAAGCTGTAACGAGGGTTTTAGTCTCATGTTGCAAGTGAACCGAATCGGCTCCGACCATTCGAGGTAGAAAAACACAAAAGATAGTGCCCCTGACTCTTGAGCCAATGGCTATAGGGCCTATTTTTCTTTTAACTCATATGTGACTTAAGTAGAGGACTGTAACATAGTGTTTTTATGGCGCTCCTGAGTGTTTTTACGACATCATGACTACGGAGTCGAACCCACTTGACACAGCTCCGGGCTACATGCCCATTCTAGAGTACCGGTGGTACGGTTCAGCGGGAACGTGTAAACCGTCTGGTTGTACCGTGATAGCTTCTAAGGAAAACTCGAGAAAATTCCTGGTACGCTCTCCGAAAGAGGCCTAGCTAACCGAGTAAGGGGGTTTAAGGGGACAAAAAGCGCGCAAAAGGACAAAAAGCGGAACAAAAACCGAAAAAGAATAGAAAAAGGAAAAAAATTCATAAAACAAAAAAGGACAGTGACTTTGATACCAGATTAGTTGGATTAAACTTTTATATTTATTAAACAGTATACCCATACTGTTTTCATAGGACCGATCGTTTCGATCAATTCAGCAATTTGAAAAAGTGACCGATTGAGGGGCGTTGTCAAGGGGTTTCAGATAGCTTGCAACTTAGCTGGACCACTAGGAGACTTGACTGGAAAAAGTGACCAGTCAAGTAGCAAAGTGGTGCACAGGAAGGGAACCCGACAAGCGCTGGACACGACAAAGAGACATCCAGCACGGAATCAGAACAACCAGAGGAGGACACACAGGGGTGTTCTGGTTGGTCAATCGGGTATCGTTAGAATCCACCTTACATTCTAGGAGATAAGTGTAAAATTGGATAAGCGGAACCCCACCGTTTTGAGGAACGTTTTTACTTGAGCAGAGCTTGGAAACAGGTTCTACGGTCCGTTCGAGGTAGAAAAACACAAGAGATAGTGTCCCTGACTCTTGAGCCAATGGTTATAGGGCCTATTTTTCTTTAACCTCATATGTGACTTAAGTAGAGGACTGTTACATAGTGTTTTTATGGCGCTCCTGAGTGTTTTTACGACATCATGACTACGGAGTCGAACCCACTTGACACAGCTCCGGGCTACATGCCCATTCTAGAGTACCGGTGGTACGGTTCAGCGGGAACGTGTAAACCTTCTGGTTGTACCGTGATAGCTTCTAAGGAAAACTCGAGAAAATTCCTGGTACGCTCTCCGAAAGAGGCCTAGCTAACCGAGTAAGGGGGTTTAAGGGGACAAAAAACGCGCAAAAGGACAAAAAGCGGAACAAAAACCGAAAAAGAATAGAAAAAGGAAAAAAATTCATAAAACAAAAAAGGACAGTGACTTTGATACCAGATTAGTTGGATTAAACCTTTATATTTATTAAACAGTATACCCATACTGTTTTCATAGGACCGATCGTTTCGATCAATTCAGCAATTTGAAAAAGTGCCCGATTGAGGGGCGTTGTCAAGGGGTTTCAGATAGCTTGCAACTTAGCTGGACCACTAGGAGACTTGACTGGAAAAGGTGACCAGTCAAGTAGCAAAGTGGTGCACAGGAAGGGAACCCGACAAGCGCTGGACACGACAAAGAGACATCCAGCACGGAATCAGAACAACCAGAGGAGGACACACAGGGGTGTTCTGGTTGGTCAATCGGGTATCGTTAGAATCCACCTTACATTCTAGGAGATAAGTGTAAAATTGGATAAGCGGAACCCCACCGTTTTGAGGAACGTTTTTACTTGAGCAGAGCTTGGAAACAGGTTCTACGGTCCGTTCGAGGTAGAAAAACACAAGAGATAGTGTCCCTGACTCTTGAGCTAATAGTTATAGGGCCTATTTTTCTTTAACCTCATATGTGACTTAAGTAGAGGACTGTTACATAGTGTTTTTATGGCGCTCCTGAGTGTTTTTACGACATCATGACTACGGAGTCGAACCCACTTGACACAGCTCCGGGCTACATGCCCATTCTAGAGTACCGGTGGTACGGTTCAGCGGGAACGTGTAAACCTTCTGGTTGTACCGTGATAGCTTCTAAGGAAAACTCGAGAAAATTCCTGGTACGCTCTCCGAAAGAGGCCTAGCTAACCGAGTAAGGGGGTTTAAGGGGACAAAAAACGCGCAAAAGGACAAAAAGCGGAACAAAAACCGAAAAAGAATAGAAAAAGGAAAAAAATTCATAAAACAAAAAAGGACAGTGACTTTGATACCAGATTAGTTGGATTAAACCTTTATATTTATTAAACAGTATACCCATACTGTTTTCATAGGGAATTAAGAGGTTTAGCACCCAGCGCTTAAGGTAGTTTTCGGCTTAAGAGGGGGGCTAAATAGGGGGAGGTTAGAAGGGGGGCTGGTTAGGTTAGAGGTTGGCGGTTGCAAATTGTAAAAAGGGGGGACACGTTATAGTAACTAATCAATCGATATCGTCGATTTAGTTACATTGTAACCTTACACGCATGGATTACAGAGAGAGGATATCCAAATTTAAGATCGAATTAAGTAGGTACCCTGGTCGGATCGGGTGGGGGGAACGGAAATAGACAGTTTTTGCAACCCGGGAGGAGAATATTCTATAAGAACGTTAGTAGAGGGGAGGAAAACGCGTGACAATCAGGTACCAGACACTTTTTTTCACGAAAGGACGACATTGGTCACCTTTGAGTTTTAGATGGATTCATCTTTCCGTTTTTATCATTTTTTCTCATTGAAGTTTTTATGCTTTCAGTACTAATTTTATCGGTTCTGAACGAACAGGTGATCACAAGACACCTGCGAGCAAGTTGAGTTTTAACTTGCATCAGATTAATAAAGGGGGATAAATACAAGGGGATTAGTAATTGACATTTTTGGCCAGTAAGGCTGGGTTTTGGGGAAATTTTTATACTAGAGCTCAAGTGGTGGTACCAGGGATAGTCGTTCAAGAGTCCCAACAACGAAGAAGAAGAGATCAGGTTGTCCCAACACTAAGAAAGAAGGGGTCTTGGGACAGGGTGAAGTGTCCCAACATTTGAGTGGCAAAGTCTTGAGACGGTACCAGGAAGTCTTGGGACAGTGCGGAAAAGTCTTGGGACACTACCAAGAAGTCTTGGGACAGTATAGAAAAGTCTTGGGACAGTACCGAAAAGTCTTGGGACAGTACAGAAAAGTCTTTGGACAGTACGAGGAAGTCTTGGGACAGTACGAGGAAGTCTTGGGACAGTGCGGAAAAGTCTTGGGACAGTACCAGGAAGTCTTGGGACAGTGCGGAAAAGTCTTGGGACAGTACCAAGAAGTCTTGGGACAGTGCGGGGAAGTCTTGGGACAGTACCGAAAAGTCTTGCGACAGTACAGAAAAGTCTTGGGACTGTACCGAAAAGTCTTGGGACAGTATAGAAAAGTCTGGGGACAGTACGAAGAAGTCTTGGGACAGTACGGAAAAGCCTTGGGACAGTGCGAAGTGTCCCAACATTAGAGCGAAAAAGGTCTTGGGACAGTGCGAGGTAACCCAACACTTGAGTGATATGCCTAAAGACAGTGTGAAATATCCCAACACTTAAGTAAGAGTACAACGGACCGGTCAAAACGATTAAATCACAAAAAAATCCGCTCTATTAAGATCACGAATTGAAAAAATTTAACTTAAGAGAAATAGGAAATTTTTTTAGAGTTTTTATCCTTAGAATAGGATTTTGTAAAAATTAATGTTGTAAATAGAGAAAATTGTAAATCATGACGCGAAATAGGGTACCGATAGCAGAAAAAAAGAGTTCTACAGTCAAAGACAAATCATAACTCGTCGCAACGGAAAGCAACACCGTCGGACCAAAAAGTAATGAGAAGGAACTTTTCAGTGAGCATGGTCAACACAAGAAGCGCAAAGGAGAGCAAGACCAAAGTAAGCGCTGTGAAGGGACGAACAGTACCTGCTATAGAAATTGATCTTGAGACACCAGATCAGAGTGTTGATGAGGTGGAAAAGAAAACAACGGAGTCAACTGCGATGCCGAATGCGGAAGAACAAGAAAAATAAGACGATAGAGCTCTCGCCAATTGACACTGTGGAGGACACAACAAGCAAAACGATGGAAACAAAAAAAAATGAGTCTCAAGCAAAAAGAACGTCATTCACAGAGAGGATCGAAATAATGATCGGAACGAAATCAAGATACAAAGAGGAGGTAGAACCAACGGCCGAGAAAGGCAAAACATTTGGAACAGTTTCCACTATAACAACGGAAGCCATTCCAGGCGATGAGCAAATCAAACATGGGGCAACAGCTAACCACGAAAAAACAACCTCTCTCGAGCTGGGCGATTTGATGGCGAAGTTGGATCAAATCGACAAAAAACTGAAATGCAGTGAAGAGGATCGACAAGTAATAAAAAAGGAAATACGATACAACATAAACGAGAACCTAGACAATTTCTTCCACCTGGCGAGCGCGAAGGAGGAAAAGCTACAGCAGATGTCAGACAAGGTAGAGGCTACCAATAAAGAGCGCGAGAAAAATATCAAAAAGGACATGCAAGAAATGAAGCCACGATATGACATGGTGAACAACAAGTTATGGGCTCTGGAGACGAGAATAGACACAATGAGCAAAGACCAGGCTGAAAGTTCACGTGCCATACAGTCCAAACTAGATGCTCTCTTGAGAAACTCTACAGCACAAGACAAGCTGGGAACAGACAGAACGCAAGGCAACAGAGTCGATTTTGTGGAACGACAACGGAACGGAACAAGCGGGAGTCCACACCGTTACCCCGGTGTGCAGCGAGCTTAGGACCAGGAGGGGCCAAGACAATTATGAAGAATGGAACCTCAAATACGACAAATGGTCCAAGCGATTCCACAACGAGCAAAAGTGTGGGACCTGAGGCCATGACGTGGGTTAACACCTGGGAATTGATGAATAGGACATTTCAAGGAACACAAGGAACACTGACTCGAATGAAAGAGGAGTTGTCAAATCCGGGAAAACCTTCAAGAAACCAAAGGATTTTAAGGACGATTCAGATGGATGCATCAACACATGGGTAGAAGTCATGAGACTACATTTGGAACAAGATAAACAGATAAATATTGAGCAACTTAGAAGGCACAGCGTTAAAATGTGTAGTTGCAAAGAAGGAAGAGGAACGTGATACTGCAGACAAGATCTTCGAGATATTGTTGAACCGATTTGCATCAGGAATGAAGGACCACCAAGCTATGATGAGATTCGAAAAGAGAAGACAGAGGGACGATGAATCGATCGATGGTTCCTGGAAGATCTTGAGAGCTTGAGAAGAAAGAGTGACCCTGAAGAATCAACTAACAGAAGGAAATTCAGCATCGCATCAAAGTTTATAGATGGGGTTAAAAGTGACGACTTGAGATCAATCTTGGCAACGTACTATACACTGTCGAAAGATAATGTACCGACTCCGGAAGAGATGAGGCAAAAGTCAAGGGAGTACATGTTGATGAAACATAGGAAGTACTCGTACTCAGAGAATAGGAACATGCAAAGGTCTAATCAACCACCGGGGTCGTCATGGTACAAGCCTAGAGATGATATGGACAAACGTAGGTTAGCGCAAATTGCGGATCAGCGGATCATCACGTGGCGGATTGCACGACGTACAAGCAAGGCATGAAGAGTCTGGGATATGCGCCGGATGAGGAAGATATGAGCCAGACGGACGAACTTGAGTTCTATAGTGGCCTGATCTTCAAGATAGGTTCGAGATGCTTCTGCGGCAATCAAGAGGGCTACTTCAGGATGGACTGTCCGTTGTTTTGGGAAACAGTGAAGAACCAAAGTCACCCCAAACACAAGTTAGCGCTGGCGGCGGTACAAAACACGAGGAACAGGCAAGCCAAGTTTGAAGCAAAAAACTCGGAGGCACCGAGTGCGGAACTACCGACAAAAACGGTGAAGGCTGTAGCGCAAGTCAAAAACAACATAGAAACTGACGCCAGGAATTCTCTAGAAATAAATTATGAGAAAGCAGCTACGGAGGCTATCAACAAAGTGAAACAAGACCTAGCAATGAAAGAGATTGAGCAACGACTAAAGCAGGAGATCGAAAGGCAGAAGTTAAATTAGACATTAAGTAGATCAGTGCCAATGCCAGAAGCCGAAGTGGGAGCGACGAGGAGTGGAAATTGCAACACTCTAAAAATAGTGACGTGAAAGCCATTCGGCATAACAAAAATCGGAGCCAGAATAATGTCGATAATCACTGTGGGCGGCCACGAAGTAACGAGAAACCTTAGTGAACCAAGCGATCAGACGACAATGCACATTGATGTGTATGCAGATTACTTAAGTGCAATAAGTCCGCAGACAACTTCTAGAGCTTTGAGATCACTACTCACAAGAGGTGGCAGCTAGTGTCAGTCCGCGTCGAAAATAGATACACGGAGGCCTACGGTCCACATGAGGTGATGTTGAAAATAAATGGAATAAACATCTACATGAAGACTACGATAACATGTGACAAAGACCTAGTCAGACAGATCTACGTGGGTAGAGAAGAACTGAAAGTCAGATCGATTGGACTCTGCGCCATGCTAGAAGAGGATTCAATGGACATCGGAATAGAGGCAGACGTATCGCCACTCGTGCTTGACATAAGTGGCAACAAGACTCAGTTGCGAGGGGTAACTAGACACGGGAGTGGTCTTGAGTGTTATACCAATCGAAACTTGGGAGCGAATGGGCTTCGACAAAGACGACTTGATAGACTCGAGAATACGGCTGTCAGCTGCAAAAAAATGGGCGCTGCGGGTACTAGGCAGGACACCAATAATAGCCCTAAACTTGGGGGAACGCAACCTGTAGATGAGCTTCCTTGTGGTGGAAAACCTAGATGAGTCTGACCAATTCATTTTAGGCAGAGACTTCATCAGAAACTTCGACGTAACTATTGATCTAAACAATGCCATGTTCAGGATTCGGAACCCGGAAAGAAAGTACGTAATTAAACCGGTAAATTTTATAATTGCGAATGAGAATAAAGCACCGGTATTCTTGAGTAGATGGGTGAAGCTGAAAGCAAAGAAGCGGCAATTGTAAGCTTGCGAATGAAAAAATATAAAGAACTAAGCGAAGACAAGCAAGTATGCATAGTCCCAAATCCAAATAGTCAACATGCTGCTGTTTTAGGAAGATCCTTCTCGATAACCAAGAGCGGTCTCTGCGTCAGTGTCTGGTTGAATACTCTTGATATACCCATCACAATCCAGAGGGGAAGGAAACTGGGATACGCTTTACCCGTGAAAACTCGATATGAAATGACTGAAAATGTAAAAGAGAATGAAGTTCTTGATAGTCCCAATCATAGGGACAAGATTTGTATAAAAGATTCATCAGGTCTTGTTAAATCACTTAAGTCAGAGACAGACGATGGACTTTCGAGCTGTTCAAATTTCCCGGAAAGACCCACACCAGAGGAAATGGAAATGGATAAACCGGTTTTACCCGAAATAGAGCACTTGAGGGGCAAGGTAACGGATGAACAGCTCGAAGCCATCAAGGACGTACTAGAGCGGATTGAGGATATTTTTTCGAAACATAAGGCAGACATTGGATATTGTAATTTTGTTGAACATGAAATAGAGCTTGAAGAGTCGGAGGTACCGCACAGGCAGGGGGCGAGGCGTATGACCCCACACAAATCGGATGCATGTAGAAAAGAGATAGAGACCTTACTAGAGTATGATATGATAGAACCATCCAAATCAACGTGGGCGTGTGGAGTAGTGATGGCTAAGAAGAAAGGCGACCAATTGAGGTTTTGTTGCAAATTTCGGTATCTGAAATCTGTCACGGTGAAGTATGCCTATCCCATACCTGGGATTGATGAGAGCCTCTCGAATTTAGGGGACGCAAAATTTTTTACGACTGTTGATTTAGGATCAACCTTTTGGCAGGTTCCACTGAGGAAGCAAGACGGATAAAAGAGCGTTTGCCTGCGAGCTGGGGCTGTTTCAATGGAAGAGGATGCCCTTTGGTCTTTGTAACGCCACGGCTACGTTTCAGCGATTGATGGCACACGCATTGATAGGTGTAACGAAGAAATACGGCAACTTGGTAATGTGCTACGTGGATGACGTGGGAATTGCGACGCCGACACTAGAGGACCATATCGAGCGACTAGACGAGGTGTTCGCCTGCATGAAGAGATGGAGACTAAAACTCAACCCATCAAATTGCGAAATACTCAAGGACTCGATTAAATACGTGGGGAGGATGGTGGACAGACACGGCATCAGAACAGACCCAGATGCAGTAGAAGCAGTTCTGATCTGGAAATCGCCAAAAAAGGAACATCAACTGATGAGCTTCTTGGGTTTTGCGAATTATTACAGGGAGTTCATTAAGGGCTATGCGGACAAAGTGTACCCGATGCAACAACTGATGAAGCACAAAGGCAAGAAATTCACGTGGAACAATGCGGCAGAAGAGTCATTCCACAGAATAAAGAAGGAGTTGTGTGAAGCACCGGTGCTAATGATGCCAACAGAAAACGGAATGTACGTGCTGGACACGGATGCATCGGTAGTAGCGATTTCTGACATTCTCCATCAAGAGCAGGAATGGAATGGGAAGACAGTCTTGAGACCAATAGCATACGGGAGTAATGTCTTGAGTGATACGGAGATGAAGTATGGTGCGCCCAAAGTGGTTACCTTTGTCGATAAATACAGGGCATACCTAGGTAGCGAGCCGTTCAAGCTACGAGTCGACAACAGGGCACTCAGCTGGTGAAAACGTACTCAATGGATCAGAGCTACATTGGGAGATGGATAGTTCGCCTGGATGGATACAAAATGATAATTGAACATAGGACAAGAGATAAACATCATAATGCCGATAGCTTGAGTCAGAAGACGGAGTTCTATGAGAGACAGGAACAGAGGGAGGTAGATAGGCCAGAAATCAAAGATGGCTTCTCCTTCATCGATAAGGAAACGTATGATAGTCTTCTACTCACGAGATGGCTCGACAAGTCTGGCAAACCTACAGAAGATCAACCCGAATTACCAAAGGAGCGTCTAGAGAAAACAATCTTGAAAAGAACCCAAGGGATGCCAATGGAGATAATGCTCAAGTCTAAAATTGTGAGGGAGACACTCAAAGCAAAAGGCTATGATCTCAACCAAGTAGAAATGGGAAGAGCAGAGATAGATGAAGACTTGAGGAGATTACTCAAGAAACTGGCAGACGATAAACCCGTGGTCAGAGAAAAGGGTGAAGAGGAACCAGAAGTCTCGATATTGAGAAGGAATGATGCGGAAGGTAGCAAGGACTCCTTGAAAGAAAAGAAACCTAATGGAAAAGAAGTCGTGCATTGGTTGAGAGTCCCTGAGGATATATTTGAGCGGACTATGGTTAGGAAGAAGAAGGTGACATTCAAGGAGGAGGCTGAACACCTTGGACTGAGTCAAGAGTCGGGGGAGTGGCCCACTGCAGAGGAAGGTGCTGAAGAAGAAAATTTGTCCGGGGAGTGTGAAGAATGGGATGAAGACTCAGAAAAGAGCAGAGATGACCAAGACAGTCTATGCATGATATTGGCGGAAGAGAAAATGAGGCACCGCGACAGGGAGCTACAGACGGATACCTCCTCAGGAACGTACAATTTGGATCAGCAGGAGGTGTGCGGAGGTGAAGAACTTGAGAAAATTGCAGTATCAAGGAAACCGTTCAGGGAGCTATCATGCAACTCAAATGTCAGAACAAACCTGGTATCAGAAGATGACAGGAAGGTCTTGAGGAGGATAGTTTGCGTCAAACTGAAAGATGACATCCACAGTCCCGAAAAAATGAATGGTCAGATAATGGCACTGAAGGAAAACGTCAAGGCGATATATAGGCTGTCGGATCTGATACGAGCCCAAAAAAATGACAAGATGACAAGCAACCTCTCCAAATGGATCTGGACGGTAGCCAAAGAGAAAGGGGACCTGAAAGAAGACAGCTACAAGATCTTGAGCCAGTTCTACAAGGAGAGAAAAGATTTACTCTATCACACAGCTGATGGGGTTTTAGCATGCAGGAGAAAGGATGAAGAGAGAATACTACACAAGCTCATCATACCACCACAGTTGTACCAGACGGAGGTGTTATTCAGATTGCACGATCAAATGGGGCATCAGGGCATAGACAAAGCGCAACAGAGAATGCTACACAGGTTTGATTGGCCGGGATCAAGGAAGGCCTGCGAGAGATGGGTGAATGCATGTCTGGCATGTCTACAGGTGAAAGACCCAAGGAAGAAGAAGTTTCCACTCAAGTCCGTGGAAAGTTCGGAAATCAACGAGGTTGTGCAGATAGAACATCAGAAGATCTGCATGACAGAGTCGGGATATAACAAGATACTGGTCATAAAAGACCACTTTACGAAGTTGGCGGAAGAGGTGCCCTGTCAAACAGCCTGACCGGAGGAGACTTGGGACCACTTGATAACACATTGGATATCACGATATGGTTGTCCGATGACATTTCAATCGGACAACGGAAAAGCCTTCGTGGGTGATCTGACAAAAGAATTGATGAAGAGGTCACACATTGCTCAAGCGCACTCAAAGACCTACCATCCTCAGACTAACGGGTTAGTGGAGAGACAGAACAGGACGTTAGTGATTATGCTGAGGGTATATTGCTCGCGATTCATGACAGACTATGATAAATATCTGCCGCAAGTGGTAGGGGCGTACAACAGCACGCAACACTCGACAACAGGAATCAGTCCCTTCATGATGTTAAGGGGCAAGAAGAGAGCAATGCCCCTAACATTCTTTTACCCAGAATACGAAGGAAACAAGACGTCGCCTCAAGCTTATGTGAATGAAGCGGTCAAGAGACAACAGGAACTAAACCAGCTCTGCAGAAGGAACACGGGGCAAGGACAAATGAGGCAGCGGAAGAAATACGATGAGAAGAAACTTCAAGCAAAACCGTATGCAGTGGGCCAATACGTCTGGTTGTTCCAGAATGTTATATCTCCCAAGGGGACGAAGAAACTACTTAAGAAATGGCGAGGACCGTTCCTGATCACAGAGGTACAACAGCAGGGACGGTTCTACCGCTTGAGTACGGGG